CACAAACTTCCCAGGGAGGGATTAAGACACTCACGTAGGGTTTTATGACTAACTCGACCAGTCCTTCAGCAGCCACTGTCTCTCTATCGGAGGAACAGCAGGCAAAATATTTAAAGCAACAGTAAAAAAAAAAAATCATAGTCTTGACTGCAATCAAGTTTTCAGCCCTGAATCTTGTATACCTGTTGTATGGCAACTGACAATCTACCAGTAGAATAGATTTGGGGATTGTGCAAATAGCTCTGGAAATTTGTTTTAACTGAAAACTTGTGTGCCTTGGAGCATAAATAGATTCACAGCTAGAAGTCCTAAGCAATGTTAAAATGGCTCCAAAAATTGCAAGGTGTGTGTCAAACTCAGATGCTCTTTGGAAACCATTACAAATGCTGTTATGGTCACACAGAACCTGAATGCAGGACAAAGGTTTTGTTTTGCTAGCTACAGACATAGGAAACAAATCCTGTAACACCTGTACTGAAAGCTCCTGCACATCAGCCCAAGTGTTAGATTCAGGCTTCTGTTTTAGCTATTTACTTTAAGAAGATTTAATTGAGCCATGCCTTAAGAGTCTAAACTTCCAGCAACTGATCAGGAAGACGTTTATTTGAATTTCTCTGATTATTTTTGCAAGTTGGCACCCCATGCAATAAATTTAGTTGTGTGTTTTTTTTTTTTTTTTTTTTTTTTTTTTTTTTTTTTTTTTTTGTACAGAATTCAGTGTTAGATTCAAAGGCTCAAACACAGCAGAAGCTGGTATAGCATTGGGAGTGTGTGTGCGCACCTGTGCTTTGGGGGACAGTTGTTTGTTTTTTTCCTTCATTTTTTGCAGCACATTTCCCATGTGCTGTGTTTGCCCTGAGGAGCCCAATACATTTGTGCTTCCCAGCAGATCAGCTAATTCAACACTGCTGAGAATGGCCCTGAGTGCGGGCATCCACGTGGAAAGGCACCTTCATGTTTCGGAAGCACAGCCTGGGTTGGGTTGGCAGCACCTCGGGGTCCCTCAGGCCCAGCCCCTGCCCAGGCAGGGCCACCCAGAGCAGGGTGCCCAGGCCCACAGCCAGGCAGCTTTAGGAGCTCTCCAAGGAGGAGACTCCACAGCCTCTAGGCAGCCTGGGCCAGGGCTTTGTCACCTGCACAGCAACCTGTCCTGGCACTCCTGGGTGAGCACTGACCACACGTTCAAATTAAATCAAGTGGTTATGAGGGTTCTGCTGTCCAAGATAGCCTCTGGACTACACTGCCAAAAATTACAGACTGGAAATACATCAAAGGACTAATTACTTCCAAAAATAACCAGGACTATTGCTGTGCTTCCTTGTTTGCCTGAACAGTCTCAACCCTCTCTATTAAGGTTTAGATGCCCAAAATTGCAGCTTCCAGAATTAATACGTGAAGTTGCTGAACTTCTCCTTCGGCAAGGAAGCTAAGCACAATTTAAATAAATGAACGTGCAAAGTACTGCCATTAGTGATTCTCTAAAAGGCCTTCACTTTTAAGAACAAAGAGCGTGGGCACCTCAGCAGCATAACAAAACAATATTTTCCCTGGATCAGGCCCTGAGTATCCCAGGGCAGTTGTGAATCTAGGCTACGTTGAAGAGCAGAGCTAATGCGGATGAAGGCACACAAGCGGCCATCTATTATCTACCAGGGTGCCAGCATTAGGTCAGCACACAGCACCATCTCCTTGCTTGGCTTTTGTTTTTTTCCTTTTGACTAGCTGCTGGAGCCTTTTCTGCGCATTTCTCATCAACATGTTTTTGCACACCTGATAAATAAAAAGGGGTCTCCAAGCTGCTTGTAACGCGGCTTCTATCTTGCTCTTCCACCTCATCGCTATTATAATGATAGGCATATCTGGGGGAGCTGGCAGGCTTGTGAGGCTTCAGCAGGCGAGTGTTGGTGGGCTGGAAAGGCAGGGCGTGCTGTCCCCTCCGTCTGCACTCCTCGGCAAAGGCTTCTTCGTCTGCCTCACCTGAAAAAGCAAAGAAGGCGAGAAAAAGTGAGCTGCGTCTAAAATGCCACAGGTTAGCATGAAACGAGAGAGATTTGGGGTGGAAACAGGGCATCACTGAACTCCTGTCTTTGCTGTCTGCCCACATAAAGAGGGCTTCAGCTGCACATCCCTGGCTATCCTGTGCCTGGTTCTTATCTCCTGGAACATCTGGAGATGGGGGAGTGCTGGGAGCAGAAGGCTCCATCAGCTGCCTCGCACCACACTGGGGTCACAAAACAAGTCAGCTACATACGACAGCACTAGGGCTGCTGTTCCCATTTTCCCAAAGGAAGGGTGAGCAAGCTGAGCACATTGCCCAGTGTAGGAAGGGTTGGCCCTGCTCAAGGCAAAGAGGTAGGGAATGGAGGGAGAAATACCCATGCTAAGCTGGCTGCGGGGACAGGGAGGGGAAAACAGCAAAAGTGGGCTCAAAGGGGCTGGGTGTTGGACATCTGCAGCTGGAAGGGTGGTAAAGAAGCATGGAAGATCAAATGAAGATGGTAAACCAGTCTGAAGGTGCCAAATGTAAGCACAGTCCAGGGCACAAGACAGACACACACAGCAAAGGAGAATGGACACAATGCAAATAAAACCCCAATGCCTGGAAAAAAAATAAGAGAGATGAGGTACTCTGCAAAACAGCGTGAGTATGAAGACACTTTCCTTAGCTGCAGAAACTGTAACAGTACCTACTAATGCCGCAAAATAAGGAAATCAGCTACCATAACACAAAACCAAACCAAGCAAAACCACACATCGAGAAGCAAATGGTAAGATCACAAATAAAAAAAGTCAACCAATGACATTCAATGGGCAAAATAAGAAAAAAAAATAACACTAAGGAAAAAAAAAAAGTGTGTCAGATTTGTCTCTTAGAGACTTTTTAAAATTTCATTAATTCAATTACTTAAGTACTTTTAATAGAGCTGATGAAACACGGCGTCATTTTGTTTGCATCAAAAGTGGTGTGTCACATTCAGGAAGTTTTTCCTGGGATGTGCCGGGCATCAGCCACTTCAGCAGGGGTGTGTGCTCTGGGTGAATGCATGTGCTCTTAGTTCATGGCTGGAAAATGCTTTGAAGATGGAAAAAGCACCACATAATGCAGTAACAAGAGCAGGAATACCGTCCTCACAGTGCGCACTGAACCACCGAGGTGTCCAAAGAAAATAGGTTGCATCGCCTTTACCTTGCAAGCGTACCCTGGGAGATGCTTCTGAGGGCGTGAGGAAGAGGAGGGAAAGTATTTTTAAAAAAGTCATTTCACAGCACAATGTGAGGCCTTGGGGAAGAGGCCAGGGACTGGCTGGCTGCGTTTTGTTTTTGCCTCGCATGGGGCACAGAGCTCCAGCTAGGAAAGGCAGTGGGCAGGAAAAAGCTCAGAGGATGCCAGGTGCCGAATTCACAGCCATTTCCAGTCTCACTTAGGAGATTACAGGGTTTCCCACCAGCACACTACACAAACAGCACGTATCAGTCTGATGATACCGATGAAGATAAAGCCTGTAAAGTGCCATAAATAAATAAATAAATAAATAAATAGGAAAACCACATACAGAACCCAGGCAGCAGCATTCACGTCCTGAAAAACTGCAATGCACCAGAAACAAGAGACCCCTCCCTTCCCACAGAAACCCAAACTTCATTGCTTTCCTGCTGATGTACAAAAGTCTTGCTCAACACATGCCTGAAGTTTAGTACAGGTGAGCAGGTGCAGGAATGAGAAACCCATCGCAGGCCTTGGAGCTCTGCGTGCACATCGCAAAGTCGCTCCGATTAAACCCATAAATACTTAACACGACTGACTATTAAACCAGATGCTCCGCACACACCCCGATAAATTACTCCTAACTGTGTTAAAGATCAACCTCAACAGCTTTAGTCTCATCCAGATGGCGTGAAAGGAACAGTTTAAAATGGAAGAAATCAAAAACATCTCATCCCTCACCCCAGTGCTGGGCTGAGAGCATCGCCGCATGCCGTGCCCCTTGCAGCCCTGCACCACCTCCATCAGGTGCCCCCACGGAGCCCAGCTGCTCCCCGAGCTGAGCCTGTGGAAGTGGTGGAAGGATCCCCCAGCAAGCATTCAATGCTGGAGTGAAGTTACAATGAAGTATATAGAAGTGAAAGACGCTCGGTGCTCCCAACTCCCCAGTTAATTCAACTGCTGCTTAGCAAAGAGCCAGGGGAGCTTGCCTGGCTTCTGTCTCACCCCACGAGAGTTGATCCCCACCTCACACCATGGACTGGGGAGGAACCAGTGTTTGTCTTGAACCTTTCCTCGTGAGCTCCCTAACCTTCTGTCACCACAAATTGCAATTAGCATTTTCCTACGCTGAGCTGACCCGTGTTATGCCAACCAGTATTACACCAACCAGTAGGCCTCAGCATTAGCCTCATCGCACGTGCCACAAAACCTGCAGAGTGGCAGCTGGAGACAAACACTTCATGAACTTGGGTGACACTACAATGTCACCCAGTTCTCCTCCACAAGAGTAAATCATACTCTCTGCCTGTCCCCATCACCCACAGCACAGCCCACATGGCTCAATCCCCCTCAGTCCCACCACACGGCCATTTTCCATCTCCCCTTAATGCTGGGACAAGCTTCAGCTCAACAGACCCCCCAAAAAAAAGTTCTCCTGAAGTTTCTCCTCGTTTTTGGCGCAGGACAGCAGGATGGCACCACAGTGTAGCCATGTGCAATAACGTCACGCTGGCCATGGCCCAGGAGCTGAATCAGGCCGGGTGCTGTGCACAGCACCAGCCCCCACCTCCCTCTCATCGTGCCTGCAGCACCCCTTGCCAGGTAAGCTGTAATTTGCAGTAACTATTTTCTCCTGCTCTGCATATCTAAATATTCATGCTTAAAGGATTCAGAACAGACGGGGGATAAAGCCAGCTGTATGAACTGGTGCTGAGCCTTACTTGAAAGGCATTTACCCTGGGAAAGTGCTGCCATACAGGACATCACCCCCAGAGGTGCAGGACCATTGCTAGAGCTTTGCCAGAGCTGATGTTTGTACTGGGAAAGGCTCTGAGGAGGACAGGCCATGTCATGTCACGTTGTGATCTCCACAGCTGAGCTCAGAAGCAGAATACCTGCTTGAAAAGCAAATTTAGGGGATGGGGCTGCTCCAAACAGCCCTCCCATCCCGTCCCCCTGCCCAGCTCACCCTCGTGTGCAGCCCTGCAGCAGGGATTGACCTGAGTTAAAAATAATGCTCTTTCCACAGCTTATTTTTAACCCGGCCCAGCCCCTGAAGCCTGCTCCTGTGTGCCACACAAGGGCAGGGGGCAGCTCCTTCTGGCCGCAAGCAGAAGGCCTGATTCACTGTTGCCAATATTAATTAAAAGCCTTGCAGTTAGTTCACTTGCTAAACTGGCTCAGGGAAGTTGTACTTCTAAGGGTTAATTCTGAAAAGGAGGGTTTCTGAATTACTGCTCTAAACCCAGCAATTAAAGTTTGGTTTTCAGGTGCGCCAGGTGCTCCCAAATGAAAAGGAGCTTCTAGGGAAAAAGAAATCAAAGGCAAGCTGTGATGCTCTCCACAGCTGTAGGACATCAAATAGGACCCCGAGGGTGAAAAACAGCTTGTGGCAGCAAAATGCTGCTGCTGGAGAGGGGAAGGCAGGGATCCTTTAACCTGTCATTAACCAGCAGAGGGCAACATTGCCTATCACGAGGGGAAACGTTATCAGAAAAGTCACTGCCAACTCCTACTTATCCAGTAACGTGTGGATTTCGTGTTTAATGCGAAGTGGGAGCATGATTCCTGGGTCGGGTGGACACTTTTGGGGAGCCACCAGACACAGCCAAAGGACCTGTATTCACTCGTGGAACATGGAAATGGCACACAGGAGTAGCACAGGAGTGAGAAGGGAGACAGACGATGGTCCGGCTGAGGTGTGACAGGTAAGACACCGAGCACTTCATAAAAAAGCAGCCCTGCACGGGCGGGAGCGTGCTTCCACACCCATTTGGCTTGCACACCTGAGCCCCAGAGGTTTCCAACATGGGCTGCTTTCGAGTGCTTAAAATATGGGTTGTAACTAACAATTTGGGGTGGGTTTTGGTGGCTCAACCCCAGAATTTGCATGTCCTTCAAAGCACATGATGGAGTACTTGTTGTTTTCATCTGTGAAATGGGAGCAGCTGGTGCCCTCGGTGGTGGGGTACCACAGCAATTAAAACCTTTTTAATTGGTGACTGTGTTACCTTTTAAACATGGCTAATGAACTATGCCAAAAAGTCTGATGATGCCATAACCTCTGTAAAATGTTCTAAAATGGGTCACCAAATACCCACCAAATAGGTAATGTTTGTACAAAACCCACTTTTTATGATGACAGCATCATCACATGGTGTTAATTAATATTAGCACGTATCCTGGCTATCTGGAATCGAACTGAATTATACCAGGAATCAGCAGTAATTAACGGCAAGATAGTAATTAACAGAAACATACAGAACAAACCGGGGTAAACATCCTGAGGATCCTGAACCACGTATTAAAATTTACCATCACTTCCTGTGCAAAAGGAAGCCGGGCCTTAGTGGTTCCTGTACAGGAGGCCTACTATTTGCATAGCATTTTCTTACATGCCTAATGAAGAAAAAAAAAAAAAAAAAAGGATATTTTCCTGTGTTAGGAAACAAAAAGCAGACAAACTGGTTCACATCTTCTCTGAAGGAAAGCTCCAGACAGTACTGTGACTTAGAAGAAACTTCCTCTGTTCAAATCTTTCTTGAATGATGGTCTTCAAAGTGTTTGAGTGCCTTTCTAACACCTCCAGACATGAGGTGATTCACCTACACTTAATTCTCTAGGGCTGCTGATGTGAAGCCACGTGCTTGCAGGGCATGGCACCGTACCTCTGCTTTCAGAGAGGGCTCAACATTTACTGAAAGTGTTTGGGATGGTTTTAGCGTGTGCTGCTACTGCTTCAGACTAGCAGCAATGAGGAGGGTGAACGAAAAAGCTGGGCTTGCCTGGTCCTTCCTCCTGGGACAAGGACCTGGAGTCCACCCTCACCTGTGGAGGGCACCGGAGCTGCTCCTGACTCAGCTCCTGGGCTCCAGGAGCCACCCAAAGAACAAAAAGTCACCACTTACATACCTTTATCTGTCACTAGCACTACAACCTGCGTATAAGATCTTCGCCCTGATAACTTTTTCCACTGTTACAACAGTTCCGGCATTAATATTTACCTCAGCGGATGATAGCAGGCTTCTTCTGAGACTGAGGTCAGACACTTTCTGGGAAACCTGGTGCTTTGGAGGAACCTGAAGTTCTCCTGGGGATTACCTGCTTCTTTCATTCCTTCTCATAGAAGCTCCACATCTAATATCGTACAGCACCGACAAAACACCAGGAGAACGAGCAACTACAGCAAAGCAAGCAGTCCAATTTGTGGGACCGAACTTGCAGCTTACTTTCAGTTTCTTTCATTTCTGTTGGGAGCAGGGGATGCTCACTACAAGAAATCAGGTGTTTTCCAACACCGCGTGTACACACCCACACACACCCTCCCGAAATCCTGGGCAACGCTCTCAGCCATAAAAACGCTCCCTCCGCGGTACCCGAGGCTATATTGGGCAAGTTCTTTTGATTCATTGTTCTTGAACTTGTTGCTAAATGCCAGGAAACACTGATATTGCAGCGCTTAACAGCACAAGTTATAAAATCTACCTCAGCACACGCTTCATCAGGTTTGTTGGACTCGAGAGAAACTGAAATTTTCACCGAGTTGTCTCCAGCAAATGTCACCATCTCGGTTTGACAGTGAAAGTCTTTAAAGATCTCCCTCCTGCAACTTCCTATGGTGCTTATGAGGAAAAGCAGCCATTTTAAAATCTACTGATTAAAAAAAAAATGCAATTAGTCTGCGAAGCCAAAAGAGCCTGAAATCATTCCGAAACTATCCGGGGAATGCCGCAACAGCTGCAGAAGCTGCACCATCGCTGCTGGGGCAAAGTTTCTAAAAACCATAAAGGGAGCTTACTTCAGCCCTGGAGTTTACCAGCTGAAGTACCAGATGGAGGACAACATTGAGTCATCTCGCACAAACTGGTGGCTTTCCCCAGTTACCGATAATCATTTTCCCTCCGGAGTAACCGTCCACCTCTCAGTACCGCTGTTATATTCAGAAAGCACCCAGAGGTTAATGGTTTGCTGTGGTGACGGACATCCTCCATGCAAAGCACTGGGAAATATTTAGCTGAAGCAGTGCCAGAGTGCTCAGCTGGTTATGAACTAAACATGTGGGCTCTCCATCAATGCCCTCTCCAGGCACTGGCTGGGATGTCCCACCTCGTCCTTTTCCCATCTCGCAGCCTGCGCCAGGCTAACAGCTGTAAAGCCCTGCCTGCAGCATCACCGGGCTCAAGCACATACCTGCTCCTACACCTGCCCGTGCTCACTTTGTAACTTTGGGGATTTTGTGCAGGGTTTCCCAGGGTTGTTGCTGTTTCCTCTGCTGTGGGAGCCAGGCTCATGCCCATTTCCCGAGAGAGGTTAAAAAAAAAAAAAAAAAGTTTTCAGTGAGAGGAGAAAGCAGGGGAGGTGGTGGTGAAGTCACTGGAAGTGATGGAAAAATAGGGGATGGGAGATGGGGAGAAGGACAGACTGATGAAGCCAACATTGCACTTCTATTTCTGTCCCGGCAGAGCCATGCCTGCAGCACGCCTAGGATCTGGGAAAGGGCAGGGCTCCATGCTTTCTGCTTAACGCACACCGCAATCCTCTGCCCTTCTGGCTTTAAAAGCTGGCAGTGGACTTGCTGCTTGTGTTTCTGCTCCTCCTGCGCCAGCTCAGCCTGTTCCTGCACCACCCGTGCTCCTGGTACAGGCGAGGGCAGGGGAATCCCCACTGCGGTTCTGCACCCGCAGCACCCAGCTGCCCCTTTCCTGCTGCTGCCACCAACAACCAGAGGCAATGGGAGGACTTCTCACACCCCTAAGCACTTCACACACCCCCCTCGCCCAGCTACGTCCTGTACCTCAGCCCTGCCCCAACACGAATCCAGCACTCCCAGCACATCAAACTATTTCAGAAGGGATGATTCACCACAACAATACATCAATCTGCAACAAATTGGGAAAATTAAGTCAGTGTATGCCATATGCTAATTGCAGCAGCATTGCAAGGAGGTATTTTGAAAGGAAATGTCCTCTGACAGGCTGAGGTGCCATCCATTGCTACAGCCACTCCTGTTTGATTACACCAAATGCTGCAGCCTGACAAACACTCAAGAGCCTGGATTTACATCCTCACTGCCAAAATGTACCCCTCAGATGATCTTTTAGAGCCCAGTGGTCCTACATGAAGTTTGAAGACAGAGAAAACTGCGGCCATAGCACACCCAGGCCTCTGCAGAGCTGTTTTGCTCTGTGCCCTGTATGCCTTATACAACTGCTCTCATCTTAAAATCCTGATGTGGGAAAGGCAAACAGCAGCGGGTGACACGAATCCTCACGCTTCCAGTAGGCAGAGATGAGCCCATTTGTATGCTGCTGCTCAAAGTGAATTTTATTAAAGGTAAGAGACTTCATCACAAAAGAGCCTTATTCATCGTGGCAGATTTTGAAAGGAAGCAGAGTGAGGAATGAGTTTCTCAGCTTGACATGTGTAAACACAAATTAAGATTCAAGCCTCAGAGTTTGAACAAAGGGACCTGATTAAAAAAGAAAAAAAATGAGATTACTGAAAAGAAGATGCTTTCTATACTTCTCAGGCCAAATAAACCCAGAGACAATGTAGGTGACTTCAAGGACTTAGTCTATTCCCACTTCACTGCTGGGTCACCTCATATCTCCACAACATTTTCCTTCAAATCATGCTGCATTTTTATTAAGTTTCAGTGTTGTCTTCAAAAGTGGCACTAGGGGCTGCTGCTCCCAGGGTAGCTCTCCCCAGCACTGTCCCTACACAACACAAAGACGCCATGCGGATCACAGCCACCATCTCCCTCTCTCACAGCCCCTCAGAAGTCAACCTCAGGCCAAAACCCTGGCAGGCTTCACCTCCACAACTCGGGTTTCCCTTTGAAACTGGATTTTGAAGCACAACACAAAAGCCTATCAGGAAAAACAAACAAAACCACCGCCCTAGCAGTGTGAGGCAAAGCTCGCTGCTGGAGGCAGCAAAGCACAAACAGAGCTCACTGGGCACACAGGGCCTTCCACCGGCATGGCAGAAACACGAGGCCTGCGCCGTTCTCTGGCGCCCATGCCACACGGCCCAGTGTCTGCAACCACCATCCTGTCACGGGCCCGGTGTCCCCCTCGGTGCCCTGACAGAGGGCACAGGCTTCAGGACACAGTGCTGACACCTCTCGCTTGGGCTGGAGACCCTCCCGGGTGGAAAGGCCGCTCCGCTCCCCTGAGGACAACCTTGCCTTCAGCCCTCCTAGGAGGGACCGCTGCTAGGTGAGTTGTAAAATCAGCTTCTAGCCGATTACACAACTCTTCAGACAGCAAACAGAGAAAAACTGCTCTTCTATTTTTGCAACAGACCGATCTTTAACACGTTTGGTTTTAATAAGGCCTCAAGATGAGGTCCTGTATCTCTGCTAGCAGCCTGCACTACAAGGAGCATCTCCGGGGCAGTTCAGAACAAGCCATAGTTTCTAAGTCAGTTTGGTTACGTTTTATTTCCTACTGATTATCTGATTTAAATCAATCTTCAAAGACCTAATGCACAGCAAACCCAGATTGCTGTAAGAGAGAGATTTTATATAAAAAGCAAACCCGTGCAATTAAACGAAAGAAAGAATCTTGCAAGTGACTTCACAAAAATGTGATGAACGACTTCCACGGCTGTTTTGTCAACACTTCCATAGTAATTTGGCAAGCGCACAAGACGGCCAAGTTTGTATTCTGATCAAGTGGCTATTAGCGCTGCTGAAGCCTTGCAGACATGAGGCAGCTTCCCTGTCTTATATTGCATTGCCCTTGGTCAGTTTATAGGCTCCCATCTTTTCAGGTTATTCATTTGAAAAATATTCTCCCTCACACCTTGAGCCTTAACTATGACACCAAGGGTTTCACATACACTTATAAAAAAAAAAAAAAACGTTATATCCATCAAAGTGTAATTCATTGCTCATCCATTACTAGGACAGGGGCAAGGAAATTCCAGCTCCCAGTGCCTGCACACATCCCTGATTTAACAGAGGCACACATACAAAAAAATACCAGAACCTTTTAATTGACACTGAAAATGTCACATGCTCCTGGCAACAGGAAGTCTGACAGCTCAATAGGTTTCAAAAATATTTTATGAACCTTCACCACAAAACCCAATCCTATTTTTGACATCTTCCTGACAACAAAGAACACCAAGCAATTAGCTGGCATTCCTGCTCGATAATGACACGCTAATGAGAGGTCTGAATCTGAAATAAAGCATCTTGCTGCAAGTTGACTTTCAATACTAATTTTAGCGAAATATTTAACTAGGAACCAGCACCCAGACCTCACAGGTGCCTTCACTCCCAAGCTGCACCACCTTTTGCTGTTCATCTCCAATTCATCAAGGAAATCTCAAAGTTTCCAAGCTATCTTCTTTTAACCCCAAAGTTAAGCTGTTCAACCTGTGCCTTAAAACCACCATAGCTTAATACAATAATTTTTTCAAAGGCCTATCAATAATAAATACTGATACACATCAACTTCTACATGCAAACAAATATACACAAAATTAGAAACAATTATTTATATGCACAGAAAGAAGGAACTGCTCTGTGCATACTGCTCAAACTGAAGTCCTGACCAAATTAACCCTTGAGAGTGGAAAGCACAAAAATTAAAGTTTTCAGCTAAAAGTAACAAACACCAAACCAGAACCACTACTATAATCCAACAATAACAATACTTACAATTCTTTTGTGCCTGGAAACAGTATCATCAGTCATTTTATACGCTGCTTCTGAAGAGATCCAGGGAGAAGAGAGGACGTTTTACCGAGAGGGCTCTGTGAGCTTTTGAAGCAGAAGCAGGGTTCAAACACCGATGTTGGCATCTGTGCAGCACATGCAATGCAGCCATGCAGATCCTGGCAAGGCCATCGCAGTGGAGAGGTAGAGGTGCCACAGCAACCCCAGCACGGAGCGATGGCTGTTCATGGTCCAGTGCCATCCCACCTGCCCTTTCTCTACCTTCTCATCAAACCTTTGGGATCCATGGGATGAAGCACAAAGCGCAATGACAACCATTGCTGACCACAGTCCCTGAGGCCAAAGCAAAAAAGGGGCAGGGCTGTGCTGAAGAAGCACCGTAAAATCTGGGACACTGGAGAATGCCAAGTTCCAGGGGGGAGCACAGGATGACCATGAGCTCTCAGCGCAGAGGTGGGTGTTCCCGTGGAAGCCATGTACCCACGCTGAGGCCACACACCAGGGGAACAACTCACCACCTTCAGCTGTCGGGACTAGTTGCTGCTCAGCATCACCTATCTTATGGATGCACCTCCTGCGGTTCTGCAATGGCAACGAAAGCTTTTCCAAATATTTAAGTCACTTCGACAGCTGACTCACTATATACCAGTGGAATAAATATTTGAGAAGAAAAAAAAACATCATCATCAAAACTGTTTCAACTACAAAGGCGCTTCAGTAGAACTAGCAAACGAAAGCACAGCATCCAGCAAACTTAATCCCCTTCCCTCTTGAACATCAGCAAACTCGAAACCTTCTCAGAAACACTTGCCAAGTTTTACTAAGATGTAAGATGCCAAACTTCATTTATGCCACAGCATTTCTCCTTGGCTCTGTAAAGTCAGTGCTGTTCACTTTGCAGAGCTGCGAGCATACTGCAGTCACACTGTTGTGTCAAAAGGAAACCCAAAACAGATGCACAACAGAAAGCTGACATTTACACAGATTTACATGCATGCAAGTTGGCAACTGACAGAAAAAGCCCCAGATTTTGCACTTTTGAGAACATTTCATCACTTTCCAATTAAAATTCTGACCTTGCCTGAACTCTGGGCATTGGACACAGTGTAGTAATTCTACAGAAACAAATTTCCTTTTACAGTAATTTTAAAAAATACTAAAGAAAAGAATTAATGACTGTTTTAACGACTTTTTCCAAAGAAAAAACTGCCAACACAAGAATACTAAGCTGAAAAAACCCCTACGAAGCACAATACCGTAACTTCACCAATAGAGCCAGCACCTGCTGTGAGACGGATCTGTTCAGGGAAGCCTTCAGACACTGAATTTCCAGTGAGATGAACTGATAAATAAACCCACGCCTGTACCACAAAGACACTTGACAAATCCCTGATTACAGTTTAAAAGAAAGCACTGCTACACCTCAGTGTCTATATGCATCTCAATCTCAAGTGAAAATTTGTATGCTTTAAGCAAAGATGTCACCAAAAAAAAAAAAAACAACAAAAACTGAAGAAACTCTGACCTCTATTAGTAATATACCATCTAATCTACAGTAAGGCTGCACTTCAAGTGCTGACACGGCTACACACCATTTACAGGCCCATACACAGCACCTGAGACGCCAATAATTTGGGGAATTTTACCACCACACCCAAAAAACACAGGAGTTAGCTGAATCTGGAGCCAAACGTGAATGAATGGCTAGTTGTTGGTACAGAAGAGGCTGGGAGGTGTAAGGCAGAAACGCACCCACCCCCACCTCCTGTTTAAAAAAAGAAAAAGAAATTTTCTGCAGTTGGAAACTATTCTGTCCAGGGCAGGAGGAACCTCCTCTGCAACAGAATAAATAGCATATTTAGGCACTCAGCTTCGTGATTTATTCTATGAAAGCAGTTACCAGGGATCTAGTCATCTTTTTATACAAACATTTCAAGGAGCAAAGCACACACATGATCTCAGAGCAACTGGTGAAGGAGAGGGAAGAGTGGAAACTACAGCTGAATACTCAAAGAATCTTTTGCTCTTCATTTTGTTCATCAGGAATAGGAAGGCTCAAACACCTGTGCCTCCTCTAAGAAATGTTTTATTTCCCTCAATTTAGCTTCTTGTAATCATTCCTTAATATAGGAATTATCTTCTAGATTATTCACTGCATGAGAAAGCACTACATTTACTTCCTATTGTATGACACTTATAACTCTGTCTTGCAACCATTGAATTTGAGTAGTTAAAATTACAAAACACTACAAAAATACTATGAGTAGGGTTCAGGACAAATTACTCAACTTTCTTTTAACCTTTCAAACAGAGAGCTATCTTTCAGTTCTTCTAGGATAACACTTTCAGAATGGATCAAAAAAAATCAGTCAATACCAGTGTTTTAGAAATACTTGGAAATGATTCACGTCTGTTTATTGTCCTCCTTGCAATTTTTTAAGTTATATACCCTGTAATATTAGCTGTAACACCCCAAAAATACAAGAATATGCATTGTGAAGTATACCTAATTTTCTTTTTCCTTAGCAGTAGTAAAAAAAAAAAAAAACTTATAATGCACTTTGTCATATTCAGCCCCATTCCCTGGATGAATCCTTTTTGCATAAGAACACCTGAACACCCAACTCAAGTCTTCTTGAGCTGCACAGAGAACAGAATTGCATTTCCTAACTTTGAAATAGGTTCTCTATGGGACATAACTCAAAAATTCTGAGGTTCCTTGGAAAATAAGGATACAATTACTTTGCTTTAACAAATTACAGCTTGGCACTTTTAAACAGTAAGTTGTTTTGAAGTGGTTTTCTGCTAACAAGCAGTCCGCAAACCCAAGGTGCACACTGGCTGTATGCCTCAAGGTTAGAAAGGTTTCTTTCCAGGTCTACTCTTAAGCCAGAAAAGGGCCAGCAGTATGGCATGTACAATTATTTGCTTTTCCATTAACAAGTTTCCAGGTTACTAAAGCTTTGCTTTTCAGTTAACAAGTTTCCAGGTTACTACAGCTATGTCTACAGTGGTGAAGCTGCACTGCTCTGACTCTGTTTTTTAATCAGCGAAACCCTTGCAGTTTCTACAGTTTGTACAGAAAGGAGGCTTCACAAAAGCTGTCTTAAGTACTGAATATTTAGATCTCAAAATAGGGTTAATTTGACTGTAAAAGAATTAAGATTCAGTTCAGGAGTTAATTCCAGCACTCTCCAAGCAAGGTACCCTCCCAAGAAAATTAGGAAGGACCTACAGAAACCACATGATACTGCCATACAAGTGCTGCTGAGTTCAAATTCCAGGAGCTTGCCTGTCCAGCAGCACCTCTCAGAAATAAACGTGATTAAAAATGATTATTAACAAATGCAGCTCCGAGTATATTCAAAAGCCAAGTGTCTACGGACAGGTTTTTTTTACCACACATACAAGCCCTGTAGGAGACGCTTCTCTGGCAGTTTCCTGTTGAAATATGTTTTTCTGACATAATGTTCCCTTAGGTATTTAGCATGCTACCAAAACCAATCTAATTAACCAAAAGCCAGCTTTTTTTCATCATATTAACTTAAGCTTCAAAACACACATATTGCTGTCCACTTAGGATTTAACACACACTAAAAATAAAAACTTGGAATTGTAAATACTTTGCCCACATTTTTCAAACAAACAATCCAGTCTGCCAAATGAATCTTTGCCATAACATGACATTAACCTCTTAGCTTTCATCTCAGGACCCAAAACGAGGCGCTCTGAAGCTCTGCAGTCTGTTTTTGGTGAGAAGAGAGAGGAGACATGCAAGGACTCATGGCGATTCCAAACCCAATTCCCTGGGACAGTCATCAAGGCCCTCGCTCTGGTTTCCTCTTTGTCACTGAACACCCAATTTGTCCACTACAATAAAGCAACTACTTACCTTAATAGGTTCACAACACCTTCTCCCACTCGAATTCCTCTCTTGTCACATCCCAAACTGGATGCTTTAGGGCAACGGTCACACAGTGTCTGTGCCCTGGATGCACATGTTGCCTATCTTCCCAGCTCCCTGCCTCTATAGCAGCTCCCGACAGGGATCTCCACACACAGCCCCAGCCATCCCTTCAACTCCTTCATCACTAAAGCATTCCCTGGTCTCAAAACCACAATAAAAATGTTATGAGCATTAACGTAGGGGGAGAGAAAAAAAAAAAAAAGACAATCATGGTAAGGCAGACCCTACAAAGAAAGGTCTGAAGGACATTGCACCTTTCATATCTCATCTGCTCTCCAACCTGCTGAGTTTTCTGTTACTTCCATGTAGACCCAAACACTTGCTTCTTACTAAATCATATTTTTCAGAAAGATGGTCTTTAAGACACCAAAAGCTGGAGAAACCACTCCTCTTGGCAGGTTCTTTCAACAGTTAATCACTCATGTGTTAAAAAATGCATGTTTATCTTCTCATTTGAATTTGTCTAGCCTTACACAAATGTTTATACTCTTCTTCCAAACAAGGCAAACTTTAATAGCAGTTTATTCTTACTGTTGTACTTTATTTTTTTAAGCAAACTAGGGTTTGGCACATCATCCTCAGGCTGCAGAAGCACCTCCTGGTCCTGCCCTGGAGCAGCACCCAGCATTAGCCAGCAGAGAAGGGGTCGAGTAAATGCCCACAGCTTCTGGATCAGCTGTGGTTAACTTGTGATCAGGGTTTCTAAGAGGTAAGGCAACAGGCAAATGAAGGAAAAAGTCCTTGGAATTTACACCAACAGCACAGAACAGGCTGGATTGGTTTCCTGCTTCTCCCTTACTGGTTTCACGCCCTGCAAGCTGCATTGTGAAGCAGCATCACCCATAACAAGCATGTTTCTTCTTGGAGCTAACCTGTACAAGCCCAGCAAAGATGGAAGCAGCACTGGAGGTGTTTAATGAAAGGAAGATTTGATGGCTGCTCTGTTTTCAAAGTCTGAAGGTGAATCTTCCTGAAAGAAAAATCTACATTTTTAGGCCTGTTCAGTAGCTATGTCTAAGACGGAAGCCCAGAAGTTCATGAGCATTACCCTTGCTTGCAAGCAATACCAGATGAAAGCAAAACAACTTCCAGTGAATTTCCAGCTCTCAGCTACTCCCCTGAACATTCACCTCCCAGTTTGTATGGAAGAATTTAAGAATCTCTTTTACTGAAACTCAGTCTACGGTCAGATCCTTACCATCAAGGTACTGATGGCAAGCAGTATTAAGAAATGTACATCCAGATTAGCAGATTAATTCTGGGAGGTGTCTGAGTACTTAACAGGGCATGCCCAAATAAATGAAGATAATGAAGTGTAATCTGCTGAGTATTATTAAGGAAAGCCTGGCCAAAGTCTTTTCAATAAAAAATGCTTAGTCCTAAAGTCCTGTAAGAGAAACGGGAAGAAATACTGGAGGAAATGCTGAGCTTTGGCATGTAGTTCATGTAGTTTTTCTCCATTTTCCTCCTATGAAATGGTTTCATAGATGAGTCCAAAACAATTGTAAACCATCCATAGTCTGGCTTGCTTTGGACAGAGACCATTGCTGCAGAATATGTACTCACACAGGCAAGAAGCAGAAGTCCCCTGCTGAGTAAGACAACTATCACAACTGCATGGCAAGTGCTGGCAGTTTCTGTACTGGCTTTTGTTCTGCTCAGAGTAAAGGGCAGCCTCCACCTACGTGAAAAAAGTTTGCCAGAGGTGGCAACCCTGGTGAGTTACACGGATGTCTGATAAATAAGCAATTTCACCTTAATCCATGCATCATTTACAATGATCAAAACAGACACGATATATATTTCTAGGAAAAAAAAAAAAGACCACTGATCTGCTCAGCTTCTCTACCAGATGCGTTAAAGTTTCTGCAGACATATGATTTATTTTTTTTTCTCCAGGTAAACTCCCCTCAAATTTCAATCACGGCTGTGACTACAGCTGAGATAGAAAAACTTTATTCCAAATCTGCTGCTCTGCATCTTTAGCTATTTCAGTAACAGCTTCAGGCAACGGGGTTACAGACAGAACCAAATTATCTCTCTCTATAACTCTCTCCGGGCCATCAGAACCGCGTGTCCCAAAATTTGAGCTTTCTAACCAGTCACACAAGCTGCATTCCTCACCCATACTATTAACTCATTCAAAATTTACAAGTGAGAAATAACACAGATTTCACATTTGATGTTTAATATTCAATAAAAGGAGGAACTGAAGCCTTCTGAACATACCACGTCATTTGTTACTACCAGATAAAAGACAAGCATCCTTACTGCAGTTTTTACAATCTAAGCATTAATATGTAATCTGTCAGAATTCACATTCAAGTTTTTTGAAAGCATTCATCTTTATTCTCAGTGCCGGTGAGCTTGCAACTACATTTCTTTTTCCCTTTTTTCTACCAAGTTTCTTTCAAAGTTGGCTGCATTGAAAGGAATAGCTGAAAGAGCTCTCATCTGTGATTCAGTAGAAAGGATAAGCTACAGAGCAAACTAAAGCATTAAGAGTTACTACTCTAAGCCTCCAAAATACATTCTCCTGATTGTCAATTTTAAGTAAAGCTCAGAAGTTATCTATTTCTACTGATTTTTAAAATGAACCCGTAATACTGCAAATGCCAGCATTATTTAAAATGCCAGAACACTGAAGAGACAGTTCCATTAAATGACATCCTTTTATTAAAACTTATTTACCTTCTGAATTAAACATAGTTTAATCCCCGCCATTACATTTTGAAGCTGACATCTGCTCAGGTAGAAGACTTCAGCTCCCTTTATGCAGAAGATAATTAGCACTTGGGCCAGCAGTGCAATCTGCCTCACCCCAAGACGTCCTATTTGGATACTTCAGATTCGGATACTACCACATCCAGACTACCACCTGGATTTCAGACACGGTAAGCGTGACAGGGGATATAGTACTCGTGAGTTTTCAATTACCTTCCTACCAGCTGCTGTAGGTAAGATAATACCTAATCCAGCAGGAAGCCTGCCAGAGCAAGGTTAGTTTTCAGAGAAGTTTCAATGACTTTGAATCAGCAGTCGGCTCATGTGGGTTCAGAGGTAGAGATCACGTGGTCACAGCATTTTTTTTCTTGCTTTCATTTTCTTTTCTTTTTTCCTGACAGCAACATCTCAAAATTGTATAAAAGAGCCCTTTTCGGCTCTAACTTTGCAGTATCGCACCACACTGAACCATCAAGTCTGATCAAGCAGCAGATCCACTACAATTAAGAATTCCAAAGGTACAGTTTGCAACACCAGCGAAGTGAATTTGCTTGGTTCCAACATTACTGCAGCATAAGGACCATTTCAGCATCCTGGGTGGAAGATAAAAAGCTTTTTACTTAGCCACCACTTGAAGACAAGCAATAACAAGAAGAAAACCCAAACTATCTATGTTTAGAACTATGTAAAACAAGTTTGAAGTCACAATTCAGTCCCAAAGTAAACAAGACCAGGGAGAACAGATAGTATATAAAAAGCTTTCTAATCTTATGTCAAAAAAAGCAGTTTCCAAGTCAAGGTTACAGTTCACTAGCAGGTCACTGATGTCTGTATTGCAACCACGCTGTGAGAACACTGACTTAAAATAAGCCTAAGTTCTAAGACATCAGGATCGAAGAGAAAGGTTTTCCAAAAACACTTTTGAAATGCTTCCCCCAAAAGGCTAACAAGAATTCTAAGTTAAAGTAAGGGATTGTATTCCTGTAGAGTGCTTTTGAAAAGTTCCCTGGTCATAAGCAGCATTCAACTGTAACACCATGTGAAATGCCAACAACCATCTTCAAGGTAGACACAATCTTTTTACAACACAGATTAAACTAAGGCAAAGTAGGAAACAAGCTCACCTTCCAAACAGAAGCACATTCAAGAAGAGAGTTTGGGTTTAAAAAAAAAAAAAAAAAAACTTCCCTTATCACTGGGCAATCCCACAGATGGTCTAAAGCAGACACACACCTAAATACAACACAGACAAGCTTCCACTTTCACCTAGAGCTAAAACATAGAGGCAAGCAAACAAAACAGCCAGACACAAATACTGACAGAGAAGAATAAAAACCTTAGGCTTGTTTAGAGGCTGTTTTGTTTTTTCAAGTCTTTTCCAAGTCTTGTCTTCAGCATTTGAATACCCAGTCCACTAATCACAAGCTGATACAGGATGTCTTACAAATGCTAGGTACACTTAGCAGAGCTTTCTTCCTTATACCATAAAACATCTGAGATTCAACATAGAGGGTCTTTTAAGGAGTCTTTTAAGAACTGAGAACTACAATAGCTGCAACAATTTTAAAAATGTGTAGCATTCTAAGGCAAAAATCTAATTTTTTTCAGTAAAGCAAAGTAAAACAGTAGCTGTCATGCAATCTGAAGAGAATCATGTTAGTGTATTGCACTGAAATTACTGCCATGCACAGAGACACAAAAGAGGTTGCAGCAAGGAAAAGCATTACAAAGTTATCGTATTCTACCAATGAACTTTGAAGCAGAGCAGGAGAGGGTAAGTGACACAGCAGGTTCAAGAACTCCATCTTACTGTTTTTTTCAAACCACTGGAGGTGGTTTGTTTTGAAGTGGGTAGTGTCCCCAAACATTCAAAAATCAATCCCTCATACGTGAAGAAATTGTACTTTTAATCATACAGTACCCATTTTTGACAGTTATCTCCTCCCACTGCATGTTTGATGTAAATCCTTTCATAAAATTAGGAACCTTTGCTGTTATTAAGCATTTTGTGCTACTTTGGCCAAAGCTGAAGTTCAAGGAAATTTGTTGCCCTGGATGAATCATTACCAAGTGAGTCAGTTTTGTACATACATGCAAAGTACATATTAGTAAGAAATTATACAGAAGTTTTCAAAGCAACCTAATAAATGTGTTTTACAGAACAAGGAAACTCATTTCAGCAGCAAAATTACGAAGAAAGTTTGAATATATAATACATATTAGGAATTTAAAATGGATCCACAGAAAACACTGAATGAGGATTCGTTTTGTGCATTACAAATTAATCTGGATGCAAGAAAAAGGAGCTGTGCTATTTCAATTAATTCTACATATTGAAGCAGGTGGAGACTATCACACCTCAGTCAAGTATGAGAGCGTGCCAGTTTTTACATCCAGACCTGGAACTGCCAGTAATACATTTGGAATAAGTATCCACCCAGTTCAATTGTCAGCCTGCTCAGATGCTGGTGTTTGGGTATCTGCTTACTACAGTAGAGATCTTTACTCATGGATTTACTGATGGAACTTGTTTCTTGTCTGTTTTTGTGCTTTGCCAGCTTCTTTCTGCCAAGAAAGTGCAGTGCTGCCGTTTAAGACTGCATCTTCCTCTAGCTCTGACAAAAACCAGCTTCAGGGATCTCAAGGCAGAAGAGAAACCATCCAAAACACTGGATCTTCATCAAATTTACACTGTTAAGGGATTTCATTAGGGAACATTTGAGTGAATGGTCTATAGCTCTATAGTATCACACTTTTCTGGTTAAGGTCTAACACAAGCATGTGGGTAGAAAACTGCCACTAGCAACTATGCTACCATAATTACCTTCTTAACTTGAACTAGTTAACTTAAAAGTTAACCTATAAAGGATAAAAACTGGGATTAAAATAGAAGGTAAAGATTGGAAGCTTAACATAAAAGCTATGGGTAACCACAGGAAGGAATTCAAACTCAACTCCGGATTGTCCTGATTTTATTTGAGTTGGTTAACCAATTTTGAAGCACTTTTTACAGTTTACATAACTTAAAGGAACACTAAGTGTCCTAGAAATGTAAATTAACATTTTTCATAACTCAAGACATCACAACAAAGCCAGATTTTGAAATAAATTGATTGTTTAGTTATCTGGATCAGGAGGGAACATACATGGGGAAGGAAAAACAGCATCAATAAGAAAATGCTTAAGTTCTAGACTGAGTTTGTGCTTCTACACCAAAAACATAACACTGAAGTAACAACTCTGCAAAGAACTTGAAAAGGGATGTAACATCTGTGGTCCCAAAACCAAAGTATATATTAACGCCTTCTAACTCTTACTTTGGTTGTACTAAATTAATGCTGAAGTAGAGGGACAAATTCCAGATATGCCAACTCTGCTGTAAATTTGAATCCTAATCTAGCAGTTTTTTAGATTGCTGGGTTTGGGTTAAATTGAGTCAGTTATCCTGCACGATACACATAAGCAAATCTTTTCAATATATTTAATAATCGATGCGTTTGTTAGTACAAAGCAGATGGTGTTCAGTAAAAAGGCATGAAGTGACTATTTAAAAACACCATGCTATTTTTTTAAACATTAAGCAAGACTAAAGAATTTGGTGAAGGCCAGATGTTCAAAGCTGGTGCACAGACAAAATTGTACATCTGTAACTTATGAAATTACCCAGAGGCTGGCAGGTATTAACAAATGCCAATACTTATTTGCATGCTTCCCCTATGACATCATCTTTCACTAAACTTTGAAAATCTGGTCTTAGCTACAAATTAACACTTTGCTTCACTCCATTAATTAAAAAAAGGCATCCATCTTTTTGTTTCTGGTTGACGAGTAATGTGAGATATTTTAACCAGTTAAGATATTTTAACCATATTTAGCTTTCATTTGTCCCTATTAATTTTGTGCAAATTTGCTCTAAAGTCACCATGTTTGTTCTCAAAATGTGTGAAAAATTTTCAGAAAGCTTTTAAAAAAATACTGATTTTCCTGTATATTTGTGTTCGCTACAGATTATTTTTTGAAGCAGTCTCACAGTCTCAGAGCTTAAAGCCTTAGTTTGTGTTTTTTGTTTGTGTTTTTTTTTTTTGGTTGGTTGGTTTTAAACAGTGTGATTTATTTTCTGCCCAGGCCAAAAAAAAAAATAGGGCAAAAGATGGAGTTAGAGAGTCAGCCTCTGAACGCTTCTTAAAAATAGGTGCTTCAAATACAGGTTTAGAAAAGAAATTAAATATGTTTTCAGTCACACTGAAGAAAACATCTGTAAAGGAAAAAAAGGCCCTCATCCTTCAGATGGAAGAAGAAGGTGGTGGGAAAAAAAGCACCGATTTCCCAAGTTGCCCAAATCACACACAGACACAAGAAGGTTACAAATGCCATTCATGAAAGAATGCACCACAAACATCAGCATTTATTCATTTTGATTTTTTTTTTTTTTAGCAAATGACAAAAGACCCAGCTTACTGGCTTCACTTTTGTTTACCTTTTGCTTACATTACACGTTTAACATTTGTCAAAACTTACTAAGTTGTCTGCATTCATGCACAACTAGAAAACATCCTTAATTTATTTAAACCAGAAATGCATTACCAGAAATGTATTAACATCATTCACTAGTAAATATTAAAAAAAAGTTGAAATTATTAAAAAGTTTATCCTGGAAATGTTAACTTCACAGCAGACTTAAACTACTAGTTGGCTCACATTTCAAACAAATTGGAAAAAGCAAGATTCATGCTAGTGTTAGTGTACATCTTGCCCTAGCACTACTGAAGAATCATGGTTCACCTTGGATCATAGATAATAAAAAGAAAAGTGCATACAGAAATTTACAACAATTTTAAGGACAAAAAAATGGTCCTATCGATGTGGTCCCAACAATAAACTCAAAAGTCTATGACAAATACAAGCTCCCGTGAGCTATTTATACTACTTAAGTACGGATATACAGAAAGTTGAGTTCATTTGAAATCTTCAAAAAATGTTCCTGTCAATCCTCAAATGGTGGTTGTTATAGCTTAAAATTTCTGTTAAATGCGTGCGTTGAATTACTTGTTATCCAAGCGTAGCAGCTGCTCCTTACCATTTATTGTTAGCGACCTTAACTGGCCATCTTCTTCAACTTCTACTCTCTCTTGTCCGTTCTCAAAAATTCTGTAGGACAAATAACAGTTTGTCATTTCAGAGCACTGTAACTGGTTTGAAAATATACACCAGACCTAGGCTTTTAGATAAAGCACAACGGAGCACTGCCTGCTTAATACAACTGTTATTGGCAAGCTTTCACATTTAACAGTGCAGCTGTAACTAGCAACCATCTGCATTCCCCCACTGATATTGCTTATTTATAGCAGGAAAATTGCTTTGTGGAAGTTTGAATCCTACAGTTTGTGCAGTTCACAGGTAGAGCTGTCACCTCGAATTGTCACAGCTGTACTGACACTACTTACAATTATCTAGGACTAAATGTCTTTTTTATAGATAGAACTGTGCTGTCTTAACATTGCATTTTGTATCATTTGTTACATGCATAATATTCTAGAGCCAATCACAATTTTGCTTAATATAAGACATGCAAGACAGTCTTCAATCCACTTTTAACTTGATCAAAGCAATTGAATTGGAGACCAACTGTATGATGAGTTTAGGACTAGCATGTACTAGGCAGAAGTTAAGTATCCTTGAATAGAATGGGATATTATTAATAAGCTATGTGGTTTTAGGTTGTTTTAAAAACGGAAAGATGAGCAATATTTAAATTAAAAAAGTAACTCATGCCAGAAATTTTCATTGTCTTGGCATTCTCCCCTCATAATTAAAAGAAGCCACATGGATGGATACAAACTTCTCTGATAATCAGACTTAGTAAAGAGAACACACCCATATCAAAAAGAGGGAGAAAGGCTTCCTGTCCGAAGCAAAGCGTTACTCAAAGTTACTCCATAAATTCCCAAATGCAGTCATTTCTCCATCACATATGGGTAGGCTATGTACAGTACCTGAAAATTCCCTTTTGAATAAATAGAAAAAAGTTTTCTCCAAAGTGGGTTCAGTTGCTTAGTTCACTCAACAAATGAAACAAAATTAATTTTTACACAGAAATTCAACTTCACTCAAAAACTGTTTGGGAAAGCACACTAGAACAAATGTTAGGGAAAGTTATTTTGTGTTATCTCAATTTTCCCAATTCCAGTCAATAGCTTCAATATCAACAAAAGCCAAGCATACTTTGCTCTTCTCAAGCTGACTTGGTAGGCAGCAGTCAAAGACCGTGATAAAAGATGGGAGGTTCCTAAAGCCCACAAGGACCTCCACTGCAGAGTCCCTTTCAAACAGCAAACAAGTTACTGCCATCATTTTTCATCAGGACAGTTCTCACTGCCGGCCTTATGCAGTTAAACCCTCCTTAAGAGTTTAGACAAAAACCCTATCTTCTCTATTTTCCCATGCCACAGCTGCAAGCAACTCAGCAATGCCAAGAAGAGTTACAAAACCCAAAACAACTTTTCTGCCTTAAAACAAACCTCACAAATTCAAACTGTTATGACCACATAATTTAAAAGGAAATAATTATACACACATTTGTATGTGTTTTTATGTATACTTATATTTATATGCATGTATGTTCAGCTATGCATTTCTATATAGTTTCATAGAAATGTATCACTCTTACCTCTTTGTAGTAATTTTTTTGCCGTTGACTATTTTAGTTGAGGTTGATACTGATTTGAAGTTACCCATCCCACTGCCACCAAACGATGTGGAGGAGAAAGAAGTAAGACCTCCATGTCCCAGTGAACCAAACGAAGTAAAACCTATTGGGGAAGAAGTTCACAGGAAAAGTATTTGACCAAAACCATATTTCTGCATGACTGTGAGCTTTGAATTTATCAGCCACCGGGACTACATCCTAGCTTCACAACACACTTTGATGGCTGCATCAACGCAACGTCAGTGACTGATGGCATTGAACACTGGTATGAAAATAAACACCTGACTCCAGCACTATCACCTTTTCCCATACGGACCCACAGTTCCAAATGCTGAGCACTGTCCAAAAACTGTTTGTCCCTTCCTTTAAAGGAAAGCCATTCAAGCCTGTCAGCTGAACTCAACCATTACACCATTCTTTCCGCTCAAGGTAAAGATAATAACTTCAGAGTCTTATTTTTCATTTTATCATAGAAGACTGGATGCCTTGGGTTAGCAGACAAAATAAGTTTTGTATCACTAACGTGCCAACTAAGACCCATGATCCTTTAACAACACTGAGTAGCAGCAAGTCTCAGCAACCTCTGAGACACAGACTTCAACATTCAAGTTAACTACCCCTAACTCATACTTAGTACTACCGTGTTTTTTTTTCCCCCAGTGAATTTTCAGGACCTCACCCAAAAGCCATCACACCAATACTGAAACAGTTCAAAACCAGTTCTAAATTCTGGTGCTACAGTTCCTTTATGGCTTTAAATGCAAACAATTCTACCTCTTTGAGGTCTGTTTACTTTTCCTGAGCTTTCAGGTAGACCTAAGGTTTTATTTACATTCAGACTTTTCAGAGAGCATCCTAAATTCAAAAAAAAGGCCTCACAGTTGATTAAATGAAGGCAACTTTACATCAAGATGTTTTGTGAACCAAAACAGAAATTCCATGTTATTTGTGATATTTACCTGTGTCAAATGAAGGGAAAGCACTTCCAAAACCAGGGAATCCACCAAAAGCAGAGAAAAATGATCCGCCGCCTCTGTTTCTGCTTCCCCTTGGACCCCGTCTGTTCCCGAAAAAGTCCTCAAAAGGATCTTCTACAAAACACAAGACAATTAAATAGGTTAATCTCACTGAGCAATCCCGTATTTAAACAGTTTCAATTAAAAAAAAAATCCTGTTATAGTTGAGATTCTTCCTTTGAAATATTTGATTCTACTGAGCCGAACAATCCTCTAAAAGAGGCTCCTTTTGGACTGAATTCTAACTCATTTTTATGTTTACAAATGATAAGTGGTTAATCATTTTAACTATTTAGAATTAAAAACCAGTAAACCTAACATAAAAGGCTTTCATTTTTCAGCACAAATGCAGTTGATAAGAGTTAAGAAAATAGTATGCTTCAGATGCTCACATAGCATAACAAAGTATGACAGAAGAAATCAAATCAGTATTTGTTTGAAGATAAATACGTCCACTGAGTTAACATTTGACAGATTTAGAACTTTTCAGATGCAGAATGACCCCTACTACACAGCAAAATTTAAAATTTAACAATTCCTAGAATATTGCACACACTTATATGCACTTCCTAGTTTACTGCCCTACAAGATTTATTGCAGACCACCCCGACAGTGTCCCTAAAAAGTAACTTCCAGCTAGGTTCTATCAATAAGCGAAATATAAAAAGAACAGCCAGGGACTGACTGATGACTCATAATCTGCAACTATTTTACGTGTTTATTTTAGCACTTGCCACATTAGGCACTTTAAACACTTATTCCGAGGCACATTTAGGTAGTAAATTATGGGACACCGTTCATAAACCTACAAAAGAACCATTCAGGCCCTACCAAGCTGTAGGCTCCATATCTTTCTTTATATATACTTCCATATATATACACATCTGTTTGTTTTTATATTTATATATAAAAAACAGACACCTATACAAGACCTTACCTATTTACTTAAAAGTAATCAAATTTTCCTAAAGAAATATATATTACCAGGACTGTCTGAAAAATGCTTTTTACTAAAGCTCTTAAAACAAAGAGGAACACACAATTTTAATCAGGTATTATTTTAAATCAAGTACCTGTTATGTTAAATTCAGAAGAGTACAACTACTTCAACCACCCTCTCAGTCAGAATCAGAGCTCTACCAGGACGAGTACTGTACACTACCAACAATTTTACCAAGTTCTACAAGTGGGCACTCTATATTGGAAGGTAAAAAGTTTTAAATACTGCTCAGACTAAGCTCTTCCTGGGAAATGCAGAAACTGGTGACAGCAGCGACACAAGTATGAAAGCAACGCAAGATTCTTGTAACTGTATGACTGTTCTGATATTTTTAAATTGCGAAAGAAAAGTTCAGAAACTCAATCCAGCTCTGGTATCACTTCAAAAATCTAAGCTCGTTTATGCTAAGTCACCCAGTCAACGCAGCAGTGACATTACTAAAGCAATCAATCTGATAATAAAAAGATATCAGTTACCATCTGGTTTAAATGTGATTACTTAACAGAAGTGAAGTGTCACGATGTATTCGTGCTGAACAAATACAGCCCCTGAAGTCCAAACACATCCTCCCACCAGCAAAGATATAAAATGCCAGAACAACCAAAATAACCCTATCTTTCCCCTAGCTGCCACAGTTATCGACAAGGCAGGACCAAATTTTTATCTTAAACAGAGCAGACAAGCAAATGGTAAGTTGTTTTTCCGTTTTGTTCCTCATGCTTTGTTACACTATTTTTTTTTATTTTAGAATAAGTTTTCTTCAATACAAATATGACCCATTATTATATTTAAAGGATTAGAAATTAAACAAGACTCTTGGACATGAGGGAGTTTATAACCAAAAAACAATTTTCTTTGAATTGTCATGATACTAGTTTGGGAAAAAATTGTGGTATTTTTCAGACTAGCTTATCAGTTAGCACGTAAAAACACTGCAGTTAATTGTTTTGTAGTCCAATTTATTTTCGCTAGAGTGACTCAGAAGCTAGTTATGAAGGTCATTCACTCACGTGCACAAACGATCTATATTATATTACTCCCACTGTTAGGCTTCCTATTTATAGTCCAATTTTTCTTGTTACCTGGAGTTTGAATAAAAACAAAACAACCTGCCATGTAAACTTGGAGTTTCTGATCTCCCACAGCATAGCAGCCTGTTCTGCATGTGAAACTCCTCTTCTGCACAAGAGCAGCAAAAATGCAGGTTTTTACAGGAGATCACAGAACCTCCCCTGAAATCCCTGCTGTCAGCCCAGCTCTAAACGGATTACTGCCTACTCCTAGCTACACAAAAACCTAACCTAGACTTGGGCATGCCAATTAGCCTTTGGCAACCCTACGTACCGAAGAAAGAAAAATCAGTACTCTGCTTCTAGCCTCTGGTGATTTCTGTTTCCAGTCCGGACCACGATCCTCCAATGCTCTTCCAGTAATTCTCCCCAATAAATAAGATAGTTAAACCACTCCCCTGCAACTGACTGCTGAATCCTCAGCAAGAGGGACTATTTGGAGACAAGGAGGTAGCTTTCATGGGGGAATATTCCCCCCCAAGACTACATGCATGTTGCCAGCCATTCAGGTACAGCATGAAGAAAAAACTAGTAAAAACACTGGAGAGAGAGCAGCAGGAGGCTTCTCCATTCAAAATGCAGCATCATTTGCTGTAACCACTACCAAACACATGTAAATATAGCAGCTTCAATCATGCAGGCACTGTTTATGTTTTTATACAATAAATCAAGATGACATATAGTACCACTCAGGAAAAGAATAACATTTCAGCCTGGTAGGTCTATTTTTGTGATTTAACAGAACCTTTCCATGCACAACAACCTTTGTGCATAGCTAGCTTTTCTACTATGGTTCAAATGAAGTAAATACCACAATATCACCCCCCCCCTTTTTTTTTTATTAAAAAAAAAAAAGACTTCTCTTATAGTAGTTATTCTGCTGCTATTTACAATCCATACAATTTTCTTATTGGATGTTTACATGCATATAAAAATCAACAGAACTAAGCAGAAAAAATAAGGCCTTTCTTAAAATGGAAATTACTATATAAATACTACACAACATAAAAAGCATCATAAAAGCAAAACACTGTGCCACTGTCACCTTAGAGTCTAACTAAACACTGTCTGGAGATAATCCACAGTTTATTTTAATCTGGGTATTACCAGGAGCTTATGAGAGGCCAGAATATCAGATTCCATTTCAAAAGAAATGTTGCAGCACACTTCTGACATGAAACTTGCGACACCACCAAGTTGATGCTACAGCAAGGATCAAGAGAGACCAATAGGTAAGAGATTTTGAGGAAGCCAGCAAGACAGGCTTGTACTGGATCAACAACATGAGACGGCACAGATTTGGGGGGAAAAAGCAAATGCTTAAGCAAAGAACTCACAAAAAAATATGAAAAAATGAGACACAATGAAGGACTTCAGGACTCTTTGTCATTTGGTGGGAAGATCTACCAGTGGGCAGTTACAGAAGGCAAGTTAACATGAAGCTAGGAACACAAAAACCCCAGCAACACAAGGCTGTACATTAGTGTCAGAATTTTCAGGTGGGTTTGTTACAGGTAACGTGTTCCTAAAAAGGAATCTGCTTTCATCAGAAATATCTTTGTGCTAATTCAAACACAGCAACCATCTTATTCCTCTGGGTAAAAGATTACATCAGCTCACTGTGTTCAACGGAATCCTACCTTAGTTTTCTGTAGTCATGGGAAAGAATTTAACCTCAAAAAATCAAATAAAAACACCATCACCAAATATCTCACTGCAGCTCAAAATGAAGTAGGTCATGATCCTCCCACCCTCAGCTCTCAGCTGTAACAGAAACAGGATTTTCTCACTCCCAGCAGCATGATCCACTTGCAGAATACTAACACAAGATGTGGTCCTGTTTGTCTTTCTTCCCTGCCTTGTGATCACAGAACCACATGACTGGCTGCATTAATTCATTGATGCAAAAGAAAACACTACACGTTTGTATTGCTAGCTTTCTGTTGCATCCATGAGCTAATCTGACTCAGTACTGGTGAGACTGCTGTATCTGAAAGAAAGCGGCCAGGAAAAGCACCATAGGGTAGAGGAAAAGGACTAAAGATGGCAAAGCCTGAGAATCTACACCTGAGGCAGCCCACAATTCAGTTTGATTTAACCAATTTTGTCAAATCAATCTAAGGCATTAGCTCAAACCACCAAAAGTCACTGTAAACTAAAAGTGCCACATTTCCTATGACTGTCAGTTCTACCACACTTCCCTCTTCTACCATGGCAGCTGCCTGGGCAACCAGAGGGTTCCCACCAGCTGAACAGAGCCTGATGAAAGCAAGTTCAGCCAAATCACTTCTCTGCAATGGTTTCCAGTGCCACTGGCAAATCAACTGCTCTGGTTCAAGGAAAACAGCACGAGCAAGTGCCCAATGGTCAAAAGGAGCACAGGGACATGCTCTCAGTGCTACTGCTGCCATGCTGTGTCCCTCATGAAAGGGTTAAGCACATCCCAGTGCAGTGCCATCATTCACCTCCAGAAGACTCAGGAGTCAAGATAAATTGTGCACTGTCAGCAACAGTTCTCACATGTACACACAGCCAGAGATGTCGATAATCTGACAGGTACAGCATGCAAACGAACACTGCCCTGTAAAGACAAGCTCAGTGCTCAGTCACCACTCGCTGGACGACTTGCCCAACCAAACCCTCCTTCCTTTATTCTCTGCAATAAAAGCCTTGCTATTGCCTCCACCGAAGCGTGACACTGAGGAAAAGCTTGTATTGCAGATGCAGGTGGAGGACACCCTAACTGCAGCACACTGAACAGAGTCATACTGAAAGGCTGCTTGGCCCCACGTAAGGGAGCAGTCAATCTGAACTGCACTCGCTATTACAGCCCGCAGTGTTCCAGCAAGCAAGACAGAACAGGCTGCCCGCCTGCCACAAATTCTTTATCAAAGGCACCCTGCGAGTGACTTGATGGACCATAGCAGAACTGAGTGTAATAAATGCGGGTCTGAATAACACCCTTACGCAAAGGGCTACAGCTACACGATGTGCTAAAGAAAATTC